TAGAATACGACGTTGAAGATAACGTGGGGCAAGAACCGGAAGAAAATGAAGACGAGGAGGATGCTGACCTACCTGAGAGATCGAACATTTATGATCTACGAAACAGATCAGAAATCAATGTTCCGAAGAGGTTCGACGACTACATCATGACTGCAGTTACTAATGTTCAAGAACTGAATTAGCCTGAGTCATACACGGAGGCAATGAGAAGTGAAAAGGCTTCCTACCGGAAAGAAACGAAGGAAAGTGAAATGAAGTCGCACAAGGAAAACCAAACTTGGACCCTGGAGAAACTGCCTGCAGGAAAGAAATGTATAACATGCAAGTGGTTATACTACAAAGTAAAAACTAATCCTGACGGCTCAGTTGTCAGGTTTAAAGCAAGGTTGGTGGTTAGAGGTTTCTCGCAGAACAAAGGAGTGGACTTCAACCAGACTTTCAGCCCAGTAGCAAGACTCAGCACAATCAGGTCTCTACTGAGTGTAGCAGCTGTGGAACATTTGAGTTTAACACAATTTGATGTATCAACCGCATTCTTATACGGCCAAGTCGATGAAGTTATTTACATGACGCAGCCTGAAGGATACAAGGATGGTACAGATCGTGTGTGCAGGCTGAACAAGAGTCTCTACGGTTTGAAACAGGCACCTCGCTGTTGGAGTACCAGATTCAACAAATTCATGGAACTTGAAGGATTCAAGAAAGTAATGCTGATCCGTGTCTGTTCATAAAAGAAGATGGAAAAAGTAAACTGATTGTAGCGCTGTACGTAGATGACGGGCTTATAGCGACAAACAACACGGGAATGCTTCAGAACTTCATGGATCATCTGACGAAGGAGTTCAAAATCACATCCAAACCAGCATCTTCCTATTTAGGCCTAGAAATAGAACAGAAAAGTGACGGAAATGTTAGAATATCGCAGAAAACGTATACAAAGAAAATTCTTGAACGCTTTCAGATGAGTGACTGTAAACCAGCTCCAACACCCATCGTGAAAGAGAACGAAACGCAACCAGCAGGGAAAGCAGAGAGCTCAAGAGACAAGTTTTCATACACTGAAGCTGTAGGTGCTGTGATGTACCTGATGACAGCAACAAGGCCAGACATAGCCTATGCTGTGAGTAAAGCATCGCGTAATCTTGAAAACTTGTCTCACGAAGACTTCATAAGGGTGAAGAGGATACTGTGATACCTGAAAGGAACGATCGACTACAGAATAGAATACCAGTCCAAAGAAAACAACCATGTTTTGGAGTGCTTCAGCGATGCTGACCATGCTGGAGACTCATCGACCGGACATTCTACAACAGGAGTAGTCTGCAGTTTTGGAGGAGGAGTAATCGCCTGGCTTAGTCAGAAACAATCGAATGTGGCAATCTCAAGCACTGAAGCCGAAATTGTTGCAGCCAGTGAAGCCTGTCGTGAAATCGTTTGGCTGAAACGACTTTTGGAAGAGATAACTACACTGAAAAGTGTGCCAGTTCTCAACATCGACAACGAAGCAACAACACGGTTAGCTGAAAACCCTGAAAACCACAGAAGAACAAAGCAGGGTGAAGTGGGGTAAGTGTAACCACACTTTGGCATAGCTCAGCTTTGACCTCAAATTGCCATCTTGTTATACATGATATAGTTCTCAAAATTTTCATGCATAAACTTTGACTAATGGGCTTTAAAACATAATATGCATTGTAATTAAAAAATAAAATCTTTTTTTGATAAAAAAATGACTAAAAATTTTGCGTTTTGTGCCAGGGTTCGGGGCAAGTGTAACCCCTGCCTGTTAAAAATATATAAAACATTGAAAAAGAGACATGGGGCAAGTGGCCAGATTCCAAATCTTTTGCTGATTCCAAAACTTTTTAACTTATTAAAATATCTTAATTTTTACTCAAGTTACGAACTTTTTCGTGAACCTCTTCTCGCGTTTTGTGAAAAACACAAAACATGCAATTACGGAAAGATTACTGTTAAAACATAAAAAACACAACATTAAATGGTACTTATATAGTTTTTAATGTTGTTTAACATGTGTAGAATAAATCTCACAGTAATATTGTTTTTTTTTATTTACATTTGGGCAAGACAATCCTAAATTATAAAATGGGGTAAGTTTAACGTAAAAGTTATATAGCCTCATCACTTAAGCAGTTCACTCACAAACAATTATGTTTTTCTTCTCAGACCAACTTAAAACTCAGTAAAAATATGTGTAAAATTTTACCTTATCTTTTAAATTCCTATAATTTTATATTTAGGCCTACAACAAAGTTTTTTTTTTCTTTACTGGATATTATATGAATTACACCCTGGTTACACTTGCCCCGAATCCAAAAAGCCACTTGCCCCGACTGCAAAATTTCAGGGGTAAGTGTAACCACACTTGTAAAATCTAAACAATAGGAAATAGCACAGATCTGAAATTATATTCAGATTCTACATGCAAAAATTAGTTTGTAAACCAAAAACTGTCAAATTTACATTAAAAATGTGAGTATGAAAAATTGTTAAAGTTTGAGGTCGGCACTTGCCGATGGAGTGGAAATGTAAGCCTTTTTTTTAAACATTCTAAAACTATTACTTGCACATATTTTATATGCATTCAAGGCTAAATATAACAAAGGAAGGTCCAAATAACAGGATATGATAGTATTTAGGTCCAAAATTATCTTATCAGTTGAGTGATAAGCCATGGTTACACTAGCCCCCCAGTTAGGCCTACTCTTACCCCACTTCACCCCATATCAAAATTAGACATTTCTTCATCAGGGAGCTTGTAGTGGAAGGGCAAGTCAAGGTTAACCATGTACCAGCTGAGTTCCAACTGGCAGACTGTATGACCAAACCTCTCCACAAGCCAAGACTAAAGACTTTGTGGCAAGCTATGGGACTTAACTAGTGACTTTAAAAATTCTTTAAATGAGGGAAAGTGTTAAGATATGTAATTATCTGTCATTTCAATAATTTTGCTCTATGTTTTTTTTACAGCTGTGCTATTATTACTAATGCAGCTTTGTCATATAAACAAATAATATGAGTTTGTTTGATGTGAACATAACAAAAATGTCTAAATACAATTATTCTTTCCTGTATCAACAGTAGTTATTTTCTTTAATTTCAACAATATTTTACCAACTTATTGATAATAGTAGGCCTACTAAGTAATTGTGGAAATTGGAAATTTTTCAATTAAGTTAATTTATTTTTGGAAAAAAAGTTAAATTAAAATTTTACTTTATAAGTTATTTTGACAAAAACTTTTTTCATATGACCCATATTGTGTTGTATATTAACAGAAATAGCATAGAAAATACTGCAAAATGGCGCCTTTCCCAGCTCTCTATCTCATTTAGGACAGCTGTTAGAGCGATTTCAAACAAACATGGCTACCGATTTTTCACGTTTTTACGAAAGGTAACATAGCCATATTTTTAAAACCGTTTGAAAAAAAAAATTAATTTGGTATTTTTCTTTGTTTTAGTAAGTTACCCTCAGTGAGCACCAAATTTCAGCAAAATCTAAGATGGTGAGGTAAAATTGTTATCATAAGTGTGTTGATTTGACATGGAATGACCCCTCTTTCGTTAATACGACAAAGTTTTATAGTAAAATAACCAATAAAATCCATAATTAACTATCAACTCAATGTGAGATTAATAACCGACCTTGCTCTCATCTTAAATCTACACTGATAGACTGAGTAAGTTTAAAACGAGTCCGAACCAAGTCTGTCTGACTTCTGACTCGAGTAAAGACAAGATTCATTTCCAGAATTCACAGCAGAGCTTCAGTGCTATACAGGTCAGAATCGAGTCCAGTAATCACGTAGTTGCGGTATCAAGTCGAATTGACTCGAGTCAGGAGGGTACTCGACTCATCACATCACTACAAACCAGTTTCATTACCGTAAAGTTGTAACAGTTGTCATCAGCTGATCCATAACCCAAAGTTTATCTTTCACATATGCTACTTAGACCTGACTTCCCTAAATGAGTTATTGAGTTATTAAGTTATACTGTAACTTAGGTTAAAAAAGAGAGTAGGCTGACTCATGTTTTTTTTTTATGAGGAAATTACGGGTACAGTTTCTTAACTGGGCGATTGAAACTAACTTATCGATTCGATTAACTTAGTAGGCCTTCATGCAATTTTTTCACCATCAGCAAGTTTGGTTGGCTAGGTTAGGTTATGATAAATTAATTTTATAATAGATATTTTCAAAAATATTGATTATTAATCAATATTTCCAATTCGATAGTTTTAATCCATATTATTTTTTGAATTAGTTACCGCCTTTGGTCTTGCAGGATGAAGTTATAATTCTCTAATATATTTCACCACATGTGTGGCATCTTCAGGGAGTCTTGAAGTTCTATTTAGGCCTACATATTTACACAGTTTATACACGTATCACAAGATTGGCACGTTTACGTCACGGCGGCTTCGCGAAAGCCCGCGCTCGCGTTTGCGAAGCCGCCGTGACGTAAACGTGCCGATCTTGTGGTACGTGTATAATCTGTGTAAATATGTAAATAGAACTTCAAGACTCCCTGAAGATGCCACACATGTGGTGAAATATATTGGAGAATTATAACTTCATCCTGCAAGACCAAAGGCTTAAGTTAAGTTAAGGTAACTAATTCAAAAAATAAATAGGCTATTCTAGTTCTTGCCACTGGGAAAATACATAATATCATCAATCCATATTAGCAAGCCTAGCCCAGTTAAGAAACTTTACCCGAATTTACTTCTAGACGGATCTAAGTAACTTATATTTATAATCGGCCTAATTGCTATCAATGTCTTACCAAAAATAACTTAAGTCAAAAAGTGTTACCTATAGGCCTAGACCCTATGCCTAGGTTGGGAGATTAAGAAATTTCGTAAACTCTTAATTTAGGCTGGTAAGTAGAATTACGTTTTTCTACTGGAGCCTTGCTTACGCTAGGCCTATTATTTTTCCTAATGAAAGTAATATCTTTGTTTACTCAACTAACCTTTGCTTCAACGATTGTATCCAAACAATCAAAATACTGTACTGCTACTGCTTTCCCTGCTGTCCACTCACTTCCCTAACCTTGCTTCTATTACTATTACAACTTACTTTCATGGATTAGATAAGCAGGTTATTTTGCAATTTGCTGCATGTTTTGTTTGTTTACAAACAGAGAATGAGAATACAGAAATCGTCGAATTAAACCAAAATGGATCGGAAGAAAGAAGAAGAAATTAAGAATATAGAAGGAAGTTGTGTTGTAGTCGAGTACAAAACCATAGATAAAACATACTCCCTTAGGTCTATGACAAAACTTAGCGTTAAGCGGTTGGGTGTGGGGTTATGATGTAGCTTATAATCGGGAATTTGTTCCATTGCTTATAATCTTGAAAATATGGTATAACTTAGTTATAAGATTTGCCAAACTTTCACGAAAAATAATATGCTATTCCACGATTTCTCTTAAATGTTGTAAGGTATGAAATATTTACTTATAAGTTTAATGGTCAAATAGTGGCGCAGCTTTTATAATCCTGGTTTTAGCGAATTTCCCATATAGGGAATAAGCTATTTATGTTTTATCTATGGTAGTACCATAGATAAAACATACTCCCTTAGTAGATTTCCCATCCTTATGGAACAGCTGAAGCCAATTTTATTGTTAGTTCTCTACGGTTTTCTGTAGAGGTCGTGTTTTGTTTACAATTTGTTTCCCGTTATTACAGCCATTTAAAACCTCGTTTAACCAAATAATACGATCTAATCATAAACAATAAATTTTCCCCTAGTTATATAACCAAACAGTAAAGCACAAATCAAGAAATTAACCCTAAAATAATAGAAACAAAGTTTCGTCGACACTAGCGCCTTTGTGTCACGTAAATGAACTAGACACGAAAAACGTGCTTCAAAATTTACAATGGGATGAGAAGTCTACTTGTGTTGGTTAGTCTATGGTAGTACCATAGACTAACCAACACAACTATAAGGGAGTATGTTTTATCTATGGTAGTACCATGACCGCCAATAACTCCAAGCCGCGGCCATCGAAGTGGCAACGTCGCAAGGAGGGTTGTAACAGCTGTTTTGTTTTCTTTGGCAGCTAATGGTATTTTTGTGTATTTACGAAACTTTGGTTACTGGTCTATGAAAATATTGGCTACGCTCAAAATGTAAAGATATAGATATTTTATTAATATTGTTTCAGTTTTCAATTCAGTATGTTTTATTATCAATATTTTAATAAACATTTTAATCTTATGAAGTGGTAACCATTATTGAGCTAATAAATTAGCTAACTCATCAATGTTATGCTTATCTTACTTGTTCAAAGGTCAACATCAACTAAAGTTCTTATATGCAATGCAGGGTGTTTTTTTTAACTTGCTTTCTTATTTATATAAAAACTGCCAGGGATAGAAACATGCAGTTTGCTGAAATCATCTATTGACGTAGAGGCCACAATTGTTGAATTCAATGTGAAGTTCACATTCACTCCCCTTCTCCCCTACTTAAACTAAAATTTATTAATTAAACTTAAAAAATTTAAATTGCAAGGTACCCTTTTTGTTAAAAAATGAAAATGAATGGCGCAAACTAGAGGTATATACATCAATCCTATCAAAAGTTATGGCAGCTCAAAACTTTAATATCAAACCGCCACCTTTAACTTCTTCTTCTTTTTGGTGGCGGGTTGACGTGGTGCACGGTCACCTTCAACTCCAGGCCGCGGCCTGGGACCTATTGCCCATTTCATAATAAACTAAAAGTTAAAACTTGTAACTTGTAATTTCCATTAGATTTACATTGGGCAATCAGCTTATTACTAATTATATTAGTTTGTACTTTATTATGAAAAAAAACTCCTGGTGGAATTGGCTACGTCGCATGTAGGGCTTTTTATTGCCAGACGCCACATAAGATAACGTGGCAGACAGGTAGCATCAGCTCATTAATTCGCGATTTATTTATTTAAACTTAAATTTATGAACATAAATTTATTAAAATAGGTATTAAAAATAAAACATACAGAATTGAAAACTAAAACAATATGAATTGAAAATCTATATCTGTACATTTTAAAGTGGAGTTAGTTAGTCCAGTAACCAAGCTTTTGTAAATACACAAATACCATTAGCTGCTTCCCCAAACAAAAACAGCTGTTACAACCACGGCCGCCTTTAAATCCAGGCCGCGGCCTTCGAAGGGGCAACGTCGCAAGTAGGGTTGTAACAGCTGTTTTGTTTGGAAGCATCTAATAGTTTTTATGTGCTAACAAGAGCTTGGTTACTGTACTATGAAAATATTGACTCCTCTTTAAACGTACAGGTACTGTATAGATTTTCAATTCATAGTGCTTTAATTTTTAATTTGTTATGTTTTATTTTCAATATTATTTGTTTATAAATTTAAATTTAAATCAATAAAGTGTGAATTAAAGAGCTGATGTCACCTGTATGCCATTATATCTCATGGGACGTCTGACACTAAACAACCCTACTTGCGACGTTGGCAATTCTACCAGACCGCGGCCTGGAGTTAAGAGTCCTTGGAGGCTAGCGGCCATCTTGGATGATTCCAAACAGCTGCTGAAGAGTTATTTATAGTCAAAAATATTTTTTCAAACACCAAAGTAATTATAATTTAAATATCTAGTATACTGTGAGAATAGAAATGTTATTTGTAGTTTTGAATTTTTCTCCAATGGATTCCATGGAAGCTAACGGCCATCTTGGATTTGCCTGCCCTAAGAGCAATGTTAATTTCGTTACTTTCAAACAGGCGCTGAAGAGTTATTTACCGTCAAAAATATGTTTTCAAACACCAGAGTGATTGTAATTTAAATACTGTGAGATTAGAAATAGTCTTTGTAGTTATTTAATTGTTAGCGAATTTCCCATATAGGGAATAAGCTATTACCGTAGTACTCATGGTAAGACCTGGACCCGGGACCGATTTACTTTTTCGTTTTGAGGTCCCTAGAGGCCAAAAACACCATCCGTTCAAATTCATATATATATATTTATATTTATATATATATTTATATATATATATATATTTATATATGTGTCCGTTAGCGCGATAACTCGAGCAAAACTCATCCGATTTTGATGAATTTTGGTACAAACATGTAAACCCACGTTTATTTGAACGAGTTCGCGAATCAGCATGATCGGACTATGGGAACAGGTGTTTATGGGGTAAAAATTGGTTTTTCCCATTTTTAACCCTAAAAACTTAAAATTTAACATTTTCTTTCCAAACCATTTCGTAGAGCTTAAAAAAACAAATAATTTAGTATATTGAAGCGTTATTATGCGCCTATAATGGTTACGGAGAAAATTCCAAAAAACTGTAAATTTAAAATTCCCATGTTATTCTTATGGAGTAATGGAGAATAAGTAAACTGTTGTAGTTTGCTTGTTTATTAACATATTTTGATCAAATTTGGAAAATACATTCATTTCATTCTAAACTATTAACATTTTACATAAAAAAACACATTTTACCCTCCCTGTTGCAGCAAACCTAAGTACTCGTTAAATTAATGTTATTTAAATAGGGAATAAATGTGATATTTTTAAGGAGACATTTTTGTGTAAATCCAATCAAGCAAATGGAAATTCGCTTAGTCTGCAGGTTTGCTGTGGCGGGGGTATTTTATGAGTTAGAACGTCTAGGCTTCAAGGACTCTTAAAGGCGGCCGTGGTTACGACCCTACTTGCGACGTTGCCACTTCGTGGCCTGCAGTTAGAGACGGCCGTGCACCACCACGTCAACCAGCCACCACGCACGGCCGCCTTTAACTCCAGGCTGCGGCCTTCAAAGTGGCAACGTCACAAGTAGGGTTGTAACAGCTGTTTTGTTTGGATGCAGCTAATGGTATTTGTGTATTTATGAAAGCTTGGTTACTGGACTATGAAAATGTTGACACCGCTTTAAATGTACAGATATAGATTTTCAATTCTTTTTTTTTGTGTTTTAATTCTGTATGTTTTATTTTCAATATTTTAATAAACTCATCTTCATAAATTAAAATTTTAATCATTAAAGTGCGAATTAATGAGCTGATGTCACCTATCTGCCATGTTATATCAAGGGACGTCTGACACTAAACAACCCTACTTGCGACGTTGCAAATTCTACAAGGCCGTGGCCTGGGGCCCATTTCATAATGAAGTACAAACTAATATGCTAATATTATTAGTAAATCAGCTGATCGCCCAATGCAAATCTAATGGAAATTACAATAAGTTACAAGCTGTAACTTGTAATTTGTAGTTTATTATGAAATGGGCCCCTGGAGTTAAAGGTGGCCATGGATGGTGCCTTGACGTGTTCCTAAGTCAATACAGGATGTTGAACTTTTTGAACTAAGTTACCTTAAGCCTTTGTTCTAGCAGGATGAAGTTATAATTCTCCAATATATTTCACCACCGTGTGTGGCATCTTCAGGAAGTCTTGAAGTTCTATTCACATATTTATACAGTTTATACCTATCGTTATATATAGTATCACATATCACAAATTGGAACGTTTACGTCACGGCTACTTCGCGGACGCGAGCACGGGAGCGGACGTACCGGAACCACTGATCACACTAGCGCTGTCTTTGTCTTTGTTCACTGACAGTTACAGAAGACAAAAGTCCAGTGTAAACGTTCCAATTTGTGATGTATGTATAAACTGTATATAACGATAGGTATAAACTCTATAAATATGTAAATATAACTTCAAGACTCCCTGAAGATGCCACACACGGTGGTGAAATATATTGGAAAATTATATCTTCATCCTGCAAGAACAGAGACTTAAGGTATCTTAGTTCCGAAAATTAAATATTAGTTCTTGCCACTGGGAATCTCAATGGGGAAAATACATAAAATCATCGTAATAATGGATGATTATGGTATTGATTGAAAATCACCCGTAGATTATAAGTACGCCATACGAAAGGGCTTCCGCATAGGTCTCCCATGTATTCGTATAAATAATTTTATTTATTTGGTGCAACTTCTTAAAATATTCATTTTCAAACAAATGAAATCAAGAAAACTGTCCATTGTAAACTATTGCATTATTATTTCACTGCTCATGCTATGTTATACTAAATGAAATTAGAAGCTATGAACAGGCACGAAAGAAACCCTACTCCTTGCCATAAAAGGCTGGCTCGTCGTCGTCGTCTGTTCACCACTTGCTTGCAGCTTGTGTCAATGTCAATCTTTGAAGTGGTCAGAGGTAGAGTTAGTCTGTGAGTGGGTGTGGATATACATTTTTTGATTAATTCGTCAACAATGTCATATACAAACCGTGAGTATATTTTTAATTGTTTTAATATATTTTCAAAATTTATCATTTAAATATCCACATAAATATACAAATTTATGAAGTCACTTGCACTAAGTAAAATTTCGTCTCCTTATGGTGGTTGATGAACCGGCACTTGCTGGACCCAACTAGCATGACAACATGACTAAGTTTAATCATTAGATTTTTACTTGTCGAAGTTTATCATCATGCTATTGTGAAATTTTGTTAAAATTCTTAAAATACTATCCTAAGCCTCTTGTTCAGCATTGTTATTTACCTAGGCCCAGTCTAGAATATAGTTAACTTTAGGCTATCTACCCTAATAAGGTTATAGTTTGTGGAAAAGTTCAGGGCTAACTTAATATGTATTGCAAATTCGTCTACATCATGGTTCTCGCATTAACTGTCTCACATTGTCTAACCCAATGGAGAAAATGTAAAAACCATCTAATGTAGCCCTATACTGTCAAACGGGGCTAAGTTACTTGATACACAATTTTTTGAATTTTCTTAACACAGTTTTTATTTTATAAAGATGTTTTATTGGGATAAATGCTAATTGTCCGTATTTGTATAGGCTAACAAAATATGTAGGCCTAAGTGACAAAAACTCAGTGTTCATACCTACAGTAATAAAAAAAATTGAGTGTACTGTACAAAGTAAGTTACTTAGCCCAAGGATCAGGGCTACTTTGTAACAGTAAGTTTGTACAATGTTGCCCCGTTTGACAATAATTAAATCATGGACTAACTAGGCTTCCATCGCCTTTCTCCAACCTTATATAAGTTAGGTCTAAACTGACTTATCAGATGATAATAGTCTAAAAGGGAAATAAAAAGATTTTTAATTTGCATTACAACAAGATTAACCATGATCTAGGTACCTAAAAAATGTCAACAAATATTGTGGGCCAAGATGAGCTAAGGTAATTATTCAGTATCTAATAACTTACCTAACTAATGTAGGCTAACTTAAGTTATAGCCTAAACCAGGTGTAAGTTAAAGATTCAAAAAAGATTCAAAAGCTTTATTCACCATTCAATACAAAATGTACAATAGGCTTTATCTCATACATTAAATAACTTAACTGCTAAAATAAATAAATAAAATCATTCCAAATAATAAATTACAAAATGCAAACTCACACAGCAAACCATGCATAAAAAACAAATCAGCAAGCCAAGCAACACAAAAATAGAAACTTACATACCAGTTACAGGCAAAACCTTCCAGGTGAAATGGGCTTAGCCCTTATAGCCTCAAAGAAATCCTCAATTTTGTACAGAGGATTTAATACCAACCATTTTCTTATGACCGTACAAAATTTAGAGGCACACAAGGACCGTACTTCAATCGGTAGGCTGTTAAAAAATGTTATGCCTGAAACAGGAAAACATTTCTGAGTCAAACTTAGCCTATGACTAGTCAAATGTATGCTATTGGAGCTTTTTGTGTCATGTGTGTGTACCTCCTTGTTTAAAACAAAGCTAGACTCCTCAGACTTGATTGCAATTTAACATTGATAAATATACACATTTATGACTGTCATAGTCTGCAACTGTACAAACAATGGCTTACAGTGAGCATGATAGTGTGCCCCACATAGCCTATAACTCGCACTGCCTTTTTTTGCCATATCAGGATTCTCTGAACATGAGGGGAGTGACCCCAAAGCCTTGTCCCATACAAAATGTGGGACTGGAAAAAAGAGAAGAAAGCAAGTCTCACAAAATTAAGGGGAACTTCACACATGAGCCTCCTAAGCAAATAAATGACTCTACTAAGTTTTACGCAAAGGGCATCGTGGCATCGATGTGATCACTCCACCCAAGTTCAGAGTCCAAAGTGAAACCTAACAACTTTACTGTGTTCACCTCATGTACTTTCTTGCTTAGGCTAAAAAATATTCCTTGTGTTTTTCCCTCATTAAGTGCTAGCTTATTACCAGAAAACCAATCTGAGGCTGCATTAAACAGCACATCAACATTATTACACGCAATATAAGGATCAGGATGGTTCATAAACAAAGTAGTGTCATCCGCATACAACAACATGTCATGAGAAACACAATGATACAGATCATTCATGGCAACAATGAAAAGGAAGGGCCCCAACACTGAGCCCTGCGGGACTCCACATCTGACCTCAATGGCACTCGAGTTGCTACCATTCCAACTTACAATCTGAGATCTATTGTCTAGATAAGACTGCACCACCTTGAGGGCACTACCCCCAATGCTATACTTCTTGAATTTCTCAATTAAGTTGTCATGAGGAACAGAGTCAAACGCACAAGATAAATCGCACAAAAGAACGGCAGTTAACGACTTTTAATACTACTTTTACTTTTAAAGGCAGTAGGCCTACAGGTTACCTTGGTTTTTAACGAATTTAGTTAGTTTGGAAACCTCAAAATTTGGCGTAGAATTATGATTATGAATTATTAGATAGTGATTGAATGGTAATCATCCAGAGGTTTATCCAAGAAGGTGTGAAGGGATGGGTAGCAAGACCCCCTATGTAATTTTAAATCTAATATTGTTATCTGAGGTTACAACAATTCTAGGATTCGTCCCAAGCTCCCATTTAGGCTATACGATCCCATCTCTGGACACTCCAAAAACGATGCTAAGCGATTCTAGTACTAGCCTATAATAAGATATTACAACGAGAAAGATTTTATTAAATGTAGCAAAAATTATATTTTTAGCCTAATAAACGAAAGATGATAATGTGACAGATGTACATAGTCTTATTACAATTTAGCCTATTTTGAGAAAACGATTGGGAGTCCTCGTAGATTTCACCATATAAATTCTCTACTTCTCATCATTGCAATCTTAATAATAAGGATTCATTCCTTGCTCTTATTTTTCTTGTCACAAATGGTGTAATTGAGATAATAATCGTGCCCCTTGCAAGTCTTTCAGACAGTAGTGCATTCCCTGCATTTCAAAAGGAGCAAGATAATGTAAACCTTTTTTTACATGTACACAATAGTCGAGATAGGTAGACGGAGTTGTTCTTGTCGAAATGGTGGATTAGCCGTAGTGATGGGAGTTAATTGGCGTTAATTTTCCATACCCATCTCTCTGGATGGGGGCAGATTCTTCTTTAATCTTGCTTAATCTTGCCATCACAGCTCGCAATTAAGGTCACCACTTCCTTTTATTCTGCACAGTTTATGGTCATTATAGGCTTGCCTATTTCCGATTTTCTTGCAAGCTGTGCCTTTTTCACTATGCTTTGTAACAGTTGATGCTATCATATGGGATAACTCCTGAGCTGATTGACATGAGGGGACTATTTTCAGTAAATAGGTTGTGACACTGGAACCATTTGATGAATTTCTTTTTGATTCCACCGTATCCCTGGAGTTTATATTGTCAACTTGCTGATAATATGTTGAAGAGATGATCCCACACTATCCCTTAATTTGATGGGTAACATCCACTGCAATGGGCCTGCCAGCGAACCATCGGGCTAGATCCCTATCATTGATTCCCCTATCTCGGAAAAGCTCTCCACAATAAGACGTTGCTCTCATGAGCACTTACTTGTTCAATGGTCATATTACACCATAATCCGCAATTATGCTCTTTGTCTTGCTTTAATTGGTAAATATCATTGTTCAATAATACATGGATATTTAACATTAGCCAGTTTGCCATTCTAACTACAGACTGTACATTTTTTCTATAGCATGTGTTAGAAGATGTAAGCAAAAAACTGAAAGATGAACCCAGGGATAGATTGTATATAATGGGAGGTTGGGATGAATCCTAGAATTTTCGGAACCTCATACAACAATATTAGACTTAAAAAGGGGTTCTTACTCTCTTCACATCTTATTAGATAAACCTCTGGATGATCACCATGGAATAAACCACTATCTAATAATTCATAATCCATTTTAAGGACAGGATCTACATTGTTACCAATTTTAGTAAAATTTCCCAACTTTTTAACTTTAATACTTTTCTCAATGAAATGGCGACCATACAAAGTAGGTACCTAACAACCAATTGGCGTTATTGATTAATAAAGAAAAAAACATTACCTATATACGCAGAATTTTGTGTTTTCCAAACTAACTACAGGTGCATTTTTGTATAGCATGCGTCGATTTGGAGTTGTAAGCCGAAAACTGGTCAAATAATCAACTTTTTGGCCATGTTGATGAAAACGACCCAACTTTGAAAAGCTATAGCGGCCAAACGGTTTGGCTGATTTTAACGTATTTAACACCAATCGATGCAGAATTCAATGCACTTAAAGAACCCCTTAAACAACATTTTCCGTAGGATTCGTTATTTAGAAGTTATAAGCAAAAAACTGAAAAAAATTCAAAATTTTCATAGTTTTTCGACTTCCAAAACTTAAGCAGACGTTAGAATCCGTCGCAAACTCACAGGACTCTTATTAGGGACCCCCAAAAGGTATTAAAACACTTTCCAGCTTTAGAAGATTTTTTGGGGAACATATGTCTCATTTGCCTGGGCTATACTGTTATATTTTCCTGTAGATATTTTCCTGTAGGTGTGCAAAATCCCTTTAGGCCTATAAACTAAAATAGGCTCAAGAATTAGCACAACAAATTAATTTAAAATTCCCATTTTGTTGGTGGCAATATAACAACAAAATATAAACAAAAAAACAAAACAAATTGATGAAATTCCAATCACAAGTTTTATTTAGGACTATTACAGCGTGGGGTCATAATAGAGAAGTCTGCACAATTTTACCTGACCCAACAATTTACATGGGGTTAGGTACAATATTTTTCATTATCCATTTCACTCATCTTCTAACAGTAACGTTCTTTTACAAACAAAAGCTAGGTTAGGAAAATACTTTAAAGCATAACAATAACATTCAAGCGCACAGATGATTTCTAGCGTTGAACGTCGTTGGCTCCATAGAGGTATATTTTTTAAGTCAAGCACTCAATGTTATTTAAATGGGTTTCATTACCTCACCGAGTGAGTTTTTTCAACTTTACATCACTCGTGAACTAAAGAAGTTAAATACATCACGCTTGGGATAGGGAAGTTTAACATGGTGGGTTAGGTAATAGTATATTACGACTACCGGTAGTCCTGAAAATAAGTGTTTACCGGACGAGTGTGGTCGTTCCCGTGTGAGACGTAGTCGAGTACGAGATTACCATACGAGTCCGGTACACACATTTTGGACGAGTTACGTACGATAGTTTACACCATACTACTAAATCCGTACAAATCCTTTTAAACCACCAAGTTATGTTTTTTTTTATAACCACTCATTGCCACCTAAATACAGTATAATCAGCTGATTGGTGTCCGGTAAAACTCATTGCAGTACAGTAGCATAGACTAAGCAACACATGATTTATCTATGACAGTAGTACGCAATGAAACCCCATTTGAATAAGCTGGCGGCAAACAGCTGTTTTCTGGACTAAATCCTTGCGTGGGAAGTTCGTCAAAATAATGTAGTGTGGCGTAAAATACATTGATATGTTCGGTTGTTGTATGGTGTTATAAGTGGATTTTATATCATCCTAAAAACTAGAGAGTCTTTTTGTAGCTTATTAAAGAAAAGGTACGTTTAGATTTTAAAATCATAGCTTTTCCTCTTGGAAGCAAAGTGAATAACTGAACTTAAGGATTTCCTTTTAACATTTAACAAAATATAAACAATTTAACGACTCATTGAATAGGTAACTTATAGGGGGATATGGAAAATACATAATACCTTGAAAATAGCAGGTTTGTAAGATGTTAGAACCTCAAAATAAGGATGTTGAAGGTATTATGTCTAGTTTTTAACATGTCTTAATTATTTTCTGCTAGGCCTAGCTAAACGTAACTTTTGCCTACTATAAATTAAAGACCTTTTGAATTGCATTTTTTCAGAATACATCTTTGCCACTTTGCCAAGAACTCAGCGAGGACAGCCCATTGTCTTAGGAGGGGATCCTAAAGGGAAGAACTTTTTATACACTAATGGAAATAGTGTTATTATTAGAAACATTGATGTAAGTACATTGTTTTAATAGTACAATAGCCAGTTTCAATTTAAGCGTACTACTGTATTCATAATTTATATTGATGGAGAAATGTTTTTTGTGTATTATTTTTGTCTCTCGGCAAGTTAATGTGAATTGGTAATTTGAGAGATTTGGATCATATTGGATTACAGGGAACTATGGATTATTGCACTACATTCTTTAATTGTAATAGTGTTTCATAACTCAACCCTAGTCTGGAGAGAAAACCCGATGAAACTATAATACTTGGTTAAACACTGTTAAGATACCTTAAATATGCCTTTTCATGGCCATTTTTAAACTCCCTAACTCCCTACCCTGACTCATTGCATTATAGCCATAAACTTCAGTCATTTGGTGATAAATAAATAAAAATGTCTTTATGTGATGAATACTTGAAGCCAATATGTTTCTATCAATTAAAAACGTATCACTTAGGCCTACCTTATCTCGCATGTGGCAGAAGATTCAATCGGAAAAAAAAATTCAAGACACATAGCAAAGCGTATGCTTCAGCTACAAAGCTGCAAACGGCATTATTTTCTTCATAAATGATGCCATTAAGGAGCGAGCCACAACGTTGCGGGTACACAACACCCTCCACTACACCCCCACTATGCTCTTAGTTAAGAAACACCTCTTGTAATAACTCTTAAGATGGAATCACCTAGATTGATGACATATTTATGTGGCACTGTTTTGCAATATATTGCTTACACCATTTAGGTATTAATTAGCCGCTATAGTATCAGAATATGTAGTGTGTCAGCCTAAAACATATGAATCTATTGGGGTTTTCTTTACCTTGCTAAACCTTGGCTTTAAGCCCACATTGGTATGTAGTTAATAACTGCTGTCAAATTCACACAGGATCATTTGCGTACCAAGTTTTTTGTTTGTTCACATGAGACACTGGCTTGTCATGCTTTAGCAAACAATATAACCTAAAATGGTCTGTAGGAAGATTTAAACAGTGTTATTGGTTTTTTGATAAGTTTCAATGGTGTGACCCAATATTTTTCAGAATCCTGCTATCTCTGACGTATACACTGAACATTCTTGTGCTGTGAATGTTGCAAAGTACTCTCCTAGTGGTTTCTACATTGCCTCTGGAGGTAAGTTGTAGATAAGCCATACTATCATTTCACACATTTATCTGCTGGTGAAACTAGTTGTTATTTACACACATCGAAAAACAATAAACTAAGAAAGCTATTCAATAATAGAGGAACGTTCCCAATTGTCGTTGATTGCACACTTTCAATTAAGATGTACGTGTTCATCTCGCCAGTGACTGTGTCCAGCCATTACAGCGGAAGTGTTGAAGTTGTACTGTCTGTTGTTGCAATATCTGAGTAGAAAAGGTGTGCTGCAATTGAATATCTCCTTAGTGAGGTCTGTGATACAGTTTTTGTTGGCCAAGAACTTGAACAAAACCTATAGAAATTTATCGTAAAGTGTACGGAAACAACATAATAAAGGAAAGCTCTTTCTTGAAAGGGTGTGCATTCAGCAAAAAAATGACTGAATTGAAGTTGATGTCCAAAGATTGATTCTTGTATGACAATGCCTGACCTCAAAACGTAAATTGAACACAAGATCTCCTTCATTCATTTATATGGCAAATTTCCCCTCAACAACCCTTCAGTCCAGTCCTTACTCCAAGTGACTTTCACTGTTTCCAAAAATGAAGACTTTGTTACCACTTAGCAGTAGGCCTACCACACCTTGTTGACGATTAGGAGCTCCAATTGCTTGTCACTGAGTGATTAAGATTTCAGTGGGCAGAATTTTACAAAAAAATACAAAGGGGATTCAAAGCAAGTGCACCGCTACAATAAGTGCTTCAATTTGTTTGGCGACTATGTAGAAAAGTAATATTTTACATCTTTCAAAAGTATGTAATACATTTGCTGTCTTAATGTTCCTTACTTTATAAATAGGTAGCCCTCGTGCATAACTGAAGTTGCAATTGTTTCTATTTACTCTTTGTAACTTAGGAACTAGATACACTGGTAGTTAACTGGCTGTGTAGCTGGGTGTTTGTAGTGCTCCCCTAAAAATTAAAAGGTTCGACATTGATCCTGAGAAAAATCTGTAGCTTTTTGATGGTTCAAAACTAGACCCAGGTGTTCCTGATCATTGGACTTTAAATAATAAAACAGCTGATCTTAGTCGGTAACAAAGCTACAAAGATCATCTCACACCATTATTATACTCAACCTTCACTCATATATGGGTTAAATCAAGGCCCCACTAGAAAAACAGGCCATGCTGCAGGATCCATGACGTCACACTATTGGAAAGATTTATTGATAAATTCATTGCCATATCCCATATGTTTTAGGTAAATAAGCTGGCTGTTTGTCAGCTTTTAATGATAAGATTTTAGTACAACTATCCACCACTGTGACATAGTGTTGCTATGACCGCGCTGCAGCATGGCCTGTTTTTCTAGTGGGGACTTGGTCAAATGTAGGGGGAATCCCCATCTCAAAAGGATGATTGATAATTGATAAATGCAACATCTATATTTTAGTTATATATGACAATATCTTTAATATTTTTATAACTTTAACACAAATAATACAGACCTTTTCAAAACAGAACATTACTTATTCATTTGTCAATGTTAAAATAAATTATTGTATTTGAATCACAACTATAAGTTCTGAACTAATCTTGGGGTTTTCAGACCAATCAGGAAAAGTGAGGATCTGGGATACTGTCAACAAGGAACATCTTTTGAAAAATGAATTTCAACCGATTGGTGGCCCAATCAAAGACATTTCCTGGTCTATGGACAATCAGAGAATGGTTGTTGTTGGAGAGGGTAGAGAGAGGTATGGCGATAATTTACATTAACTTACTTTATATAGTATATTTTTTAGAAAGTATAAGCCTATCTTTTTTGTTATTTGTTGCAGTGGGCCAGAGGCGGATCCAGGACTTTTGTTGAGGGGGGTAGGCGCACTTAAATATTTACATATTGTGTGGACAAATTTTTGCTATAGGTATTATTGAGGGTTCAAATTAAAACCGATTTTTGAAGTTGGGTTCGATTTACTGGTATTTGTAAAAAACCTGATTTGGTGAAAAACGTTTTGGTTCGCAATAATTTTTTCAGGATCATGGAAGACGATAATGTCCCCGCGGTCGCGCGGGACGTGAAGATTTTGCCACGATTGTGAAACACAATGATGATCATTGCCACAATTGAAAAACACAATGAATATCTTTGCAAATTTGTGTGACAGTGTTTTTGGGTCGGTGTCATTTTGTTTGCACTGTCAAATAATTTCAAAGCACAGATAGTTCAATCGCTAGAAGTGGGTGAATCCAGGGTCGGTTTTTTGTGAACTTCGGAATGGTTATGGAGTTTTTGAGATGGGCTCAGTAGTGCAGCTTAAAATTACTATATCAATCTTGAGATTCCTTTATGCCCTTGCTGCTAAATCTCACATAATCCTCCCTAAGCAAAGGAATGATGTGGAAGCAATCAAGGAACAGCAAAAAGGTTGTCGACAAGGAATGGGTCGTAACTTTGCGGTACCTGTTTGGTGTCGAAAAGGATGTGATGTGAAGGTTTCCAAGGAATTGAGTGGTAACAGCCGAGGTTATATGGTAATTTTACAGGATTTATGGAAATGGTATTAGGATGGTTAGATAGGTTTAAACAACAGAATAAAGCAGTAGTTAGAATGATGCTATGTGAATACAGATTAAAATACAAACATCAAAATGCACAAGCAAGGTGGATAAGGTGTGATTATATGATCAAGATGGACATGGCAAATTTACGAATTAGCGATGCAAATAATCTGCTACTTATAAATCAAGCAATTCACAAAGCAATCAGAATTTACATGTCAACTTTTGATTAAATGCAACAATACTATAAATGTGCGATTCAAGTTTAAACCAAGCAAAATGCTACGGGATTATAATATCCAAATGATTTACAAAAGTTATTACAAAGCAATCAACGTTAAGTTAAATCAAGCAAGTATACTAGGTGACACCCGTCAAAATCGAAGCTAATTCATCTATCTACGATAAATAGAGTGAAATTATAAAAAATGGAGCATTTAGCATTTTTAAATGAGTAATAAATAAGTGTTAAAATAATAATGACTAGTTACAAAATATGGTTGATTATTCAATGAATAACATATTTCTTATACAGCACATAGGCTAATAGGAGTTATTGTTACTATTTTAGCTGGTTTCTCCTCTTTTGGAGGAATATATGAATAATGCTTTTGGAGGAATCTTTAAATAGTATTAAAATCGTATTGGTGGATCTTTTATGGTAAACACTTCCACAATTTCATCAGTGTTATGCAGATTTTTAAATCTATCCTTTTTTTCTAAAAAATATCTGTTTATTGAGAAGGCACGTTCTTAATTCAAACGGAGCCCAACCTTAAAGCTGTGTAAGTTTTATTTTTTCCTTTGTTACGTCATTCACCATATACCGTACTTCTGTGCAAATGAATAACCCTCTAGCATAATTTTGATTAATTGGTCGCTGGGTAAAACTGTTAAATCTGGAACTGCATGGCATGCGGATATCAGTTGTCTCAGCCCTATCAATTACATTAATTTTTAATTTTTCTTGAATGTTAGGTGTAGTGGAATATACTTGTAGTGAACCTGGCTTTTATTCTTGAACTGTTAGGGGTATTACAACTACACGTATCGTATATTACGTCCACTAACCTGTTACTCATTTGCTAGACTGCTTGTCTCCGACGTCGGGCTGTGACGTCAGCTGTTGTCGTCATCGGTGGTCAGTGTAGCCAATTCATAAACTTAAATTCCTCTTGCTACTTTACTTTAATAATATACTACACTCGCCCCAACTTAAAATCAAGCTCTTCCTTTAATAGGCCTAAATAATAATCCTAGGCCTAATACCAAAAATCCTTAACCAATTTCAAAGTCCATAGTTCATTGCATTTAACTTAAAACTTTTCTTCAAATAACTCAAAATAAAAATTACTTCTTCAGTTACACAGTCGACTGTTTACTTAAAGATCAAGCCTCCTCGGCTTACGAACGGCCCGTTGAGACCGTCTAAGAAGTTGCGGGCTTGACTGCACTTCATGTCTTTCTTCAAGTCTTGGTAGAGGGCTAGATGCTTCTGGCAGGCTTCGCCTCTGATGTGAGGGCGTTATCGCCGCTGGCTGAGGGCTAGGTATCTTCACTGGTGAAATAGGCCTAACCGGAGGTGATGCCTTGACTGGTGATGGCTGTGGAATTCGCCTATCCACCAAAGTCTCCTCTTCGTCTCCCAGAAGACTGGAACGCAGATGGTCCGCATGACAGAACCGGACCTTGCCTAACACACTTACAACATAAGTCGCAGGGCTTCTTTGCTCCATCACTTTTCCCGGAACCCAGGACACATGCTCCCCTCTGACCGTCTTCACCCACACCTTATCTCCTTTGCCAAAATATCTAGCACCACCTCGGATGCTGTTTGCAGCTGAACGTTGCTGTTCCTTCTTTTTATCAATCACTGACAACAAATTAGGCTTAAGTAGGGTTAATTTTGTTCTGGGTTTCCATTGGAGAAACAACTCGGCTGGTGAGAGTCCAGTTACTGTGCTGGGTGTGTTCCGGTACACAAACAGGAAGTTGTCTAATTTATGCTGTAAGGTAACACCTTCCAATTGACTTTCTATCACTTGCCTCTGCAGATTTTTCTTTACCTCTTGCACACATCTTTCGGCTGCGCCATTGGACGCAGGGTGATAGGGGGGTGACAAGGTGAATTTTATACCATTCCTACTCAGAAACTCCCTGAACTCGGCACTCGTAAAATTAGGTGCATTGTCACTTACCAGTTCTTCCGGCAACCCATAAGCAGCAAACAAGGTTCGTAATCTTTCAATGGTCTTGAATGATGTAGTTGATTTCATAAGAAATACTTCAAGCCATTTTGAAAAACTGTCAACTATAACTAACAGTTGTTGTCTAGTTTGCGGATCTTCCGCATAGTCAATATGAATTCTCTGCCATCTGTTGGTAGTTCTAGGCCATTGATACAATGGCACCTTAACGGCAGCATTTCTAGTGCACTGACAAACAGTGCAGGTAGACACTGTTTCCTCTATGTTTTTCTCAAGACCAGGCCACCAGACGTAGCTCCTGGCTAACATTTTCATACGCGATATTCCTGGATGCTGGTCATGTAGTAATCGGATTACAGCACTCCGAAGCTTTTCGGGCACGACTACTCGTGCTCCCCAAACGACACAATTGTTGTCAACCGACAGTTCATCCTTCCTTCTAAAATATGCAATTAACTCAGGTTCATCGGCCGAACGCCAACCGTGCCAAATAAAGTCCCTTACTTTTGATAACACAGGATCCCTATCAGTCAATCTAGCAATATCTTTAGCCGTAATAGGTGTGTCGTCACTCACCAATTTGTAGCAGCTAAATACTTCCACCACATTTTCCACGTGAGAGAGGTGATTGGCCTCCAATTCCATGGTCTCATCATTGGGCAGCGGCAATCTTGAAAGGGCATCAGCATGGGGGAGATCCACCCCTCGCCTGTACTTCACCTCGAAGTTATAGGCTGACAAAATCAATGCCCAGCGTTGCAGACGAGCCGCAGCTACACACGGCACTCCTCGCTTACTTCCAAAAATGGCAACCAAAGGCGCATGATCTGTCTGCAACACAACATTTGAACGACCATAAATGTATTTATGGAACTTTTTGACTCCAAACACAAGCGCCAATGCTTCTTTGTGAAGTTGAGAGTAATTCTTTTCACTTCCACTCAAAGATTTTGAGGCAAACGCAATTGGTTTTTCCACACCGTCAATGAGATGAGAAAGTACTGCTCCAACACCCCGTGGGCTCGCATCACATGTCAAAATCAAAGGTTTATGCACATCATAGTGAACCAATACATCAGTAGACAACACCCATTGTTTACTCTGCTGAAAAACCTCTGAACACCTTTTAGACCATACCCAAGGTTCGTCCTTTCTAAGTAGGTCATAGAAACAGCTTATTTTATCTGACAGGTTACAAATGAATTTACCATAATAGTTGATTAGGCCTACATAGGCCTTGAGCTCTTCCTTACACGTTGGTTCTGGAGCGTCACGGATCGCTTCCAAAATACCTTCCTGGGGACTAATTCCCTCTGAAGTCAAACAGTATCCCAGATATTGAACAGAAGGCTGTAAAAATTTACATTTGCTTTGGTTTACCTTAACTCCATAGCTTTGAAGTCGCTGCAGAACATGTTCCAATCTTGTTAGAGCCTCCTCTCGGGATGATCCACCAACCAACACATCATCCAGGTACGCCACTGTACCTGGGAGTCCTCCAATTATCTTGTCCATCGCCGCCTGGAAGAGGGCCGGGGCTGACGACAAGCCATATGGTAAGCGACGTAGCCGCACGAGACCTTTATGCGTCGCCAATGTCAAAAGTTCCTGAGACTCCTCTGCAACAGCAAGCTGGAGGTACGCCGCCTCCAAATCCAACACAGAAAAACATTTACAGCCTGCTAACGAGGCAAATATATCTTCGGGCTGCGGCAACGGATAATGTTCTGACTGTATAACCTGGTTCAGAGTAACTTTAAAGTCCCCGCACAAGCGGACGCCTTGTTTCTTTTGTATAACTACTATTGGGGTAGCCCACTGTGAGCTTGTAACAGGGTAGGCAATACCTTCGGATATCATCCGATCAATCTCTTGTTCAACAGAAGTACGCAAAGCGTACGGAACAGGTCTATATTTACAAAACTTAGGGATAGAGTTTTCTTTTAAGACTATCCTAGCCTCAACATCTTTGATCTCCCCCGGAC